GGTCTTTTTGAGACAGGGGGATTTCCCTGTAGCCCCAGTTGTCCTGGAACTTACTATGTAGACCTTGCTGGCCTTGAACTCACAGCAACCCGCTTGCCTCTGCCTTCCGAGTGCTGGGATCAAAGGCGTGCGCTACCACGCCCAGTTCTTACAATATTTTATACATTATTTTTATTTTATGTATATGTGTGTATTGGCTGCATGTGTGTAGGTGCATGAGTGTTGTACAATGTCTGCAGAGGTCAGAGGGTGGCATTGGATCCCCTGGAACTAGAGTAACTGACAACTGCTAGCTGCCATGTGAGTGCTGGGAATCGAACCCTGGGTCCTCTGCAAGAGCAGTCATGCTCCGAACCGATGAGCCATCTCTCATGGGCCCCTTAGGCTTTTTCTTAACCCATTTTGATAACTCATCAAGGGTAGAACTGTGAACAGGTAGGACTTCAGGCAAATCACAAAAGAAGAGGGAAATGAGGGTTGGTATTAAAAAAAAAGATTTGGAGATTAAGAATTCCAGCGACTTGCTGAGATGCAAGAAGAGGTGGAAACAAATGCATTCAAGTTGGTCCTATAATCTTAGCATGTGGGAGGCAGGAATTCGAGGCCAGCCTGAATTATGCAATGAGATCTTTCAGCTCAAATCAAACAAAACAAAACAAGCACATTCACTGATACCCCTACCTAAATTAGTAAAGACTTAAAAAATCAAGCATGAAAGAGGCTGGAGGTGTGATTCGGTAATACTGTGTTTGCCTAGCCTACATGAGACCCTGATTGAAGTCTGAGTGTTAAACAAATAATACCAGAGTGGGTGGAGACCAAAGGTTTCCTGCCTGAAAAGTTCAGAGATGGTTCTGTGGTCAAGGCTGATACATGGCCATGGACGATAACAATCCACTACCACCCCTGCCTACCTATAGATAAAGAGGCCGAAACAACATGTCTGGCTGAGCTCAGCCAGATAACCAAAAGCAAGTTCAGGAGTATCGGGGAAACCTTCAACACAGGCAATGCAGGCTGCCTGTGAGCGAGCTCAAGGGCCTCAAGCAAACTGGAATCAAGCAAGACTAGCTTCAAGGACTCTGGAGACTCATAATTCACTCCAAGATTTTAAGAGTCTAAGTAACCATAAAACCTTACCTGCTTTTGCATAGCCAATGATCCCACCAGTAGCAACCAGGGCTGCATAGCCGAAACCGAAATAATGTAAAGGCATTCTGAAATGGCAAGAGGGAGAAACCAACACCAACCATGCTTAAAAACCACGCCACAGACAACTGGATGAGAGATGGGAAGATGGTTCATTGGGTAAAGGTTCTTGCCAAAGGCTGGCAACTACTGGGAACCCAGGGGAGAATGAACTCCTGTAGGTTGTCCTCTGCCCTCTATACACATGATATGGTGTACAAGCATACCCACACATATACATACATAAATAATTCAATAAAAATTTTAAATCATTGAATGGGATAAAAAAGGTCATCATTCCATGCAAATGCTGTCACTGTACAGATGGAAAAAGAGGATGGGGGACATGCAGAGTCACAGAACTAGACAGCGGCAGAGTTGGATTCAAATCCAGGTTCTAGGCCACAAGTCCCTGAATCAACCCACACCCCAGGCTGCCCCTAGGCAGTTCCAGCCTTAGGACTCTTCCCAGACAGAAACACACTCTGGTCTCAGAAGCCCCAGATCATTTTCCCATTTACTGGGTACTCACAGCGGGCCACTGTCCTTCTGCATTCTTCTGTAACTTTGTCCAGACAGGTAAGCACACCAGGCCTTCACCTGTGGAGAAGTCAGAGTAGTTAGGAACACACAGGTCTCTGGCAGTCAGATAGAAATGGGTTCTAGGTGCACCCCTGGGTGTGAGTGGCTGAGTGTAGCCCCTTAGGGACACAGCCTCTGGACACCCTGTGCTCCTCTGTGGCAGGTGAGGGTTATCACTTTCCTGGGGCTGCTGTGCTCATTCAATTGGGTAATAAGTAAAGTGCTTAGTACACAAGAAACGCTGGACACACACCAAGCAGTTTAGCAATCATCTCCGCTGTAACACAGGCCCGCAGAAGGTAAGCAGGAGTCACTGGCCAGTTCTGGACAGGTACTGAGCTGGGCATTTCAGCTCCAAGTTATTACTAAATCAGAAACCAAATGCCCTGGCACCTTATTCTGTTCTTAATTGTCTCTGTGGGACATGCTGAATGCTGTTTCCCCTCTGCCCCCAAAATCAGATGTCCTCAATACTAAACGCTTGCAAAACTTAAAAGACCTTGAATCCAACCTTCAGTTCTCGTTAGACTGCAGCGCAGGGAATATAAAATGCCCGGAAGCCCGAGTCATAGCTACACGTGACGCTGCACCTCTAGAAGTTAACTCCCGTTTGCTTTAAAGCATTGCGTGTCCCAGCCTAACAAGACTGAAAGCAGCGCACACCCGTTTGGTTCCGTGCTAAGAACTAAGTCTCTACACACGGGGAAGAGAGACTTAGGGTCCTTCCCGGAAGTCACTTAACGTTTTAGAGAAAGTGAACAATGAAATCTCCACAATGCTGATCAGTCATGCGACAGCTCCAGCTTTGCACGGACTCAGAGAAAAAGTGCCGCTGCACAGCCGCTGGGCCCGGCGAGCTCACCCGCCGCAGGGACGCCTCCAAATAATTCCTAAATGCCAAAGTCCGCGTGAGAAAAGCACACCCACTTACCCACGACCCGGCGAACCAGAGCGAGTCTCCCGAAGGCTGCGCCGGAGGATGAGGCCGCAGGAGCAGAGAGGCAAAGAGCCAAGGTCAGGGTCCAGGATCAGCGGACGTCACGGCTCGCGCTCGGTTTCCCGGGGCGGGGAGGGGCGGGGCTTCGGAAGCCTGGGACGAAGGCGCGCGCTCCGCTTCCGGGGAGGGGGCGGGGCTCTAAGTCATTGCGTCATGTGGGCGGGACTCGGGCCGAGCTAAGAGCCCGCTAAACGGGGGGGCGGGGCTTGGAGCCAGGCGTGAAAGCGCGCGTTCCCCTTCCCGGGGATGGGGCGGGGCTTGAAATTGTCCTGGGGGCAGGAAGCTGGGCTTTAAGGCGGGGCTTGGCGTCTTTCGGGAGAGGGAGGGGCGGGGCTCATGGCCGGAATTGAGGCTCACGACACTGGCAGAGGCGGAGCTCAAGCGGCCCGGCCTGGGGTGAGCGTTCGGGTCTCCGCCGAGCCCAGTGCTCCTGAGTTGGGACTGAAGGTGGAGGCCCGAGAAGAGCCCGTAAAGCTGGATTCCGCAGGCCGGTGCACAGATGGGTACCGAGCCGTGTGAACCCGAGGCGGGCCATCCGGAAAGACTGTCTCTCCGACTGCCGGAAGGAACTACTGCCAACCTGCAGGGAACACCGAGGCCGCTGGAACCGAGGCTGCTAGAGAAGCCCCTGAAAGGGCAGCAGGCAAACTGAGTGTCATTTCCACCCATCTCTGAGTCCACTGATTGACGTTATCTCAGTTCCACCAAATACCTGCGCTTCTGCTCCTCCGTAACCCTGCATCAAGAACAAACATGGCAAGGGCCGGGCGTGATGGTGCATGCCTTCAATTCCACCTCTCCCGATGCTGAGGCAGGCGGATCTCTATGAGATCCAGGCCAGCCTAGTCCACATAGTGAGTTCCATGCCAAAATAAACACGACTAAATTTTTTAAGAATGCTCTCCATCCCCCCCCCACCTCCAAAAAAAAAAAAAAAGCCGGGCGTGGTGGCGCACGCCTTTAATCCCAGCACCCGGGAGGCAGAGGCAGGCGGATCTCTGAGTGCAAGGCCAGCTTGATCTACATAGTGAGTTCCAGGACAGCTGGGGCTACAGGGAGACCCTGTCTCAAAAAGAACCCCCCCCCAAAAAAAAAGTTTTCAGGTTTTTTTTTTCCCCTGACCAAGTGTTCACTAGGTAGCCCTGGCTGGCCCATAACTAGGTAGACCAGGCTAGCCTACCTCCCTAGTGCTGGGATTACAGGCCTGTGCCATCATGCCCAGCCAGACATGGCTCAATGATTAAGAGCACTTACTGCTTTTCCAGAGACCAGAGTTCAATTCCCAGCACTCACATCTTGTGGCTCAGAACTACAGGTAACTCCAGCCCAAGGTGGTCTGATGCTCTTCTGGCCTCTGCAGCCACCTGCTCATGGCATTGACTCACATAGACAAAAAATACATAAAAATAAATCTTTAAAGCTTTCCACTGTCAACACCTACTTCCAGATAGCAAAATGTTGTATCACAGCTAATTCTAAGCAGCAAAGATGGTGGTTAAGAACTTGGAATGATTCCAGAATGCTAGATTATCACCAGTAAGAACCTACTGGATTACTAGAGTTGAACCACAAATGTGAATGGGGTGTCATCCAGATTATGGTCAGATGCACCTGTGTCTTTGTATGAATCGGCACACACAAGTACATGCTTTCAAGTTCAAGATGCCCAGAGTTTATTTTATTCCTTGTAGCTAAGTCTTCAATCACTGAGAAAATACTGCTCCCTCTGCTGGAAATGCCCTTTTATAGTCTGAAAACTCAATCTTCTCTTACAGCAGTATAGCTGCCCCTAACCTCCCCCTGGGTCACTACATCAAAAACATCCATTTAAACCTGGCATTTAATCCCAATGTCCAGGAGGCAGAGGCAGGCAGATCTTTGTGAGATAAGAGGCCAGCTTGGTCTATATATTTATTGAGTTCCAGGCCAGCTGAGGCTGCAGGGAAACCCTGTCTCAAAGAGACAAACAACAACAACAACAACAACAACAACAACAAAAAAAAACCCAGAAAACAAACAACTCCCCCTCCTGCATTTATTTCAGTGTTTGTCTTTGGGGCAAGGATGTTTTTCCTTTTAGTTCCACAGGCTAAGACGGTGCCAACTACACGTGGTGGACTCTCAACACATGGACACTGAATAAACAGTAGGGGAGGGATGTGGAGAGTCTAAACATCAGGAAGTTTCTGCATGCATGCACATCTGCTCCTACACAAGCATCAAAGTAATTCAACTCCACATTTTAGCATTCTAGCAGGAAAAACAAAACCAGACTGCCAGAGCAGTTCCGTATTTTGACGTGAACTGTCATATACTGCCAGGTTAAGGTGCCTTAGAAGCAATGGAACAGAAAGACTCACAAACCAAATTCATATGCTGGAATCACGGGGCTGGAGATTTAGCTTGGTGGTAGAGTGCTTTCCCTTGGCTCTGGGTTTAGTCCCCAGTATATAAGGGGAAAAAAGAAAATCTTTAGATGCCTAACTCACTAAGTCCATTCCAGATAAGGAAAAACAAGTTGGAAAAAATTGGTACATGAGTCTCCAGGACAGAGTGAAACAAAAGGGCATCAGATCCCCTGGAAATGGAGTTACTGACAGTTAACTGCAGTGTGGGTGCTGGGAACCACACCTGGGTCCTCTGCAAGAGCATCCAGTGTTCTTAATTGCTGAGCCATCTCTCCAGCCCAAGGATGGATATCGAGAAATTTAAACAAAAAGCCAACCACACAAGTTACATTAGAGAGGCACTGCTCCTGTTGGCCCATGAACAGCCATGGGTTCTATTCTAGAGAATGATGGGTTTGTGATGCTTTTTGTATTAGTTCATTTGATCTACTGTGAACATTTCGTCTCTTATCTGGTGCATCAGTGTTTGGATGTCTCACATAAACTTTGTATCTGCAAATATTGGGCATCTTGAACTTTTTAGTCCTATTTATGTAACACATTTCCTATTTACTTTCTGTTTTCCAATGAAGGGAGTCTATGTTGCCCAGGCTGGCCTGGAACTCCTGGGCTCAAGGAATCCTCCAGCTCAGCCTCTTGGGTAGCTGGGACTCCAGGAACAGAATTCCTTTTATACCAACCTTACACCCTTTCCCTACCAGTGCATTTCTAGTTAGAACATCCTTCTTTGCCACTAAGGCCATTGTGGGTGACCACAGGTGCTTAAAAGCCTGAAACATAAGGATCCACTAAATAAACTGGGACCTGATGAAATTTACTTCTAGTGGTACCAGGTAGGTCAGGGCTCCAGGTTGCAAACCAGTCAAAAACTACATATGCTTACATGTAATTCCTTTCAAAGTCAGCCTTGTCTTTTGTAATACCAAAACTATCACAAACTTTTAAAAAAATCATGTAGGCTGGACATAGTGGAGCATGGCTTCAAGCACTTACTGGCAGATGCAGGCAATTCTCTGTGTCTGAGGCCAGGCTGGTCTATATAGTTTCAGACCAGCCAGGGCGATACAATAAGAACCTGCCTAAAATAATAAATTTGTGTGTAGATATGCACATCCTGCCATGTGTAGTGTTTAGAGGACAACTTAGAAGTTGGTTCTTTCTTCTCACCATGTGGGCTCTGGGGATCAAACTTGAGTCATCAGGCTTCATGGCCCTTACACATTTAACCATCTTCCTGGCTCACAGATTTATCTTCTTTTGATTTCTCATTATGTCACCCCTTGGAACTGTCCATTGTTTAACCTCTCATAGAGGCAGCTGACATCTACTGACTTGTTTTATCCAAATGAAAAAAAATACGCCATTACTATGACAACAGTGGTAGCAACAGGGTTACCTTCACTGAGTTCTGACAATGTATAAACCCATGCAAAGAGCTTTATACATATTGACATTTTAGTCCACCCCAATCGTATGATTGCATGGAGGGATTATGCCTTACACAGATACGAGACTGAGGAAAAATGACAAGGAACGGCAAGGTGGATTAAGACTACACTATATAGGTGAGTACTGTGACGCTCTGAGAGAGATGAGCTGTTATGGGAAATGTCTTTTTTTTTTTGTCTTTTTGAGACAGGGTCCCCTTGTAGCCCCAGCTGTCCTGGAACTCGCTATGTAGACCAGGCTGGCCTCGAGCTCACAAAGATCTGCCTGCCTCTGCCTCCCAAGTGCTGAGATTAAAGGCATGCACCATAACGCCTGGTGGGAAATGTTTTTCAATTTTTAAAAATATTTTTTATGTGCATGATTGTACTGCCTGCATATATGTAAGGGCACCCATGTTGTGTAACACCCGCCAAGGTGAGAAGAGAGCATCAGATCCCCTGAAACTGGTGGTTGTTAGCCACCATGTAGGTGCTGGGAATCAAATCCAGGCCTTCTGCAAGAGCAGCCAGTGCTCTTAACTGCTGAGCCATCTCTCCAGCCTGAAGTATCTCTCTCACCCTTAAATCTTGTCAGCTACTGCTGAGAAGCAGAATTGTCTGTAGAGTAACCTTCACCTGCCTATGGTAAAGACTGTGTTGACTGAACTTTGGCAGGGAACCAAGTGCCATGGCTCAGCAGTAGAGTGCCTGCCCTAGCACCACAAAATAAATACGTTCAAATTTTAACTATTCGAAATTTAGTATTTTCTTATCTTTACTTGCTGTGAACAATAGTAAATATCATACATTCCAATGAACACATGCCACCATTATATATAAGATGCCAGCTGCCAAAAAGGGTTTTAGTGGGTTTGGGTTTTTGTTTTTTTTGAGACACAGTCTCCCTGTAGCTCCAGCAGGCCTGGAACTAACTATGTAGGCCAGGCTGGCCTCGATCTCAGAGATCTGCCTGCCGCCCCAATGCTGGGATTGAAGGTGTGTGTGCACCACCACACTGAGCCTTGCTTTACTGTTCTTTTTTTAAACTAAAATAAAAACCACCACCTAAAAGTCTGTTTTTTTTTTTTTTTAAGAAAAAAAGCTGTACATCTTCTCCAGAAGAAATTCCTTTTGTTACTCAGAAAGGTAAAGTGTAACACTGGAAAAGGAGTGTGCTGTCAAGAAGGCATTCTCTTGGGGAGAAATCTGACGTTTGTCACGTGAGCTGCATTTTCCTTTTCTTCTTCTTTTCCAGCAGTGCCGTTGTTCTCCTCCTCTTGGCTGGCACCAAGCGAGCTCCCTTGGCTGGCTTCTCACGGTCACCAGTTGAAGCAGGTTTCTTTGAGCCAGGCTCTGGCGTTCCCTCTTCCTGCACCATGTTGCCACATTCTGTTTTGTTCGTTCTGGCTCGTTCTTTACTTACTGGAACAAATCAGACAGTGCGTTAAAGGCGGTGTTTCTTCCCCCAGAGTGGAGTCATGGGACATCTCATATTTCAACTAGTCTGGGGCTGACTGCTCAAGCCTTTTAAATCATTTTCTTAATTTACCTGGAAAGGGCGCTGTTGAAGGAAGGCTCTTTTTTGCATCTGTCACTCTGTCTAACCATACTCCAAGACAGGTCAGCCTGGCACCAGTGTTCACTTCACACAGCAAAGACGGGGGAACTTTCTGAAACAAAAGGGAGGGAGAGCTTATGACATACTTAACTCAGAGGAATTTGGATAACTGCTTTTTCTTTTTTAATAACCAGTAACAGAATGCATGTACCATGCTATGTGTCAGTCTCCATGCACAGGAAGTGCTTCCACCTGGGTTTATTAAATTAAGTAAGGGCACCAATGAAGTCACCCAACAATGCACTGTTTAGAATGCAGCTCCCGTCAGGTGATGCAAATCTGTATTCTCTTGAGCATAAGATATGATACTACTTAGAAGTAATCAACTATTTTGACTTATGATTGGTCTGACTAGGGTGCTCACAGAGCCAATTTCTTAAACATATCCAGACATTATATAAGGAAACACACTATGTCTTATATAGACACTCAATAAGCCTTACTAAACTGAGACTATCAGGAGACAACAGAAGGGAATTTAACATGTAATGATCTAGTTCAAAACTATATTGGTAGTTCCACAATCAATCAGAATCTTTAAAATTGTTTTTGATAATGGCCATCATTTTATCTAATATTATAGAGAACACTGACTGACAGAAAAAAAATCAGTTTTTCTGATTAGAAAGCAGAGGCTGATCTGGGATCTGATCTTGATCAGTTCCGAGTCACAAATGCTAGTCCCCCACCCCTCCAGGCAACTCTGCCAACTTGAAAACCATCAATAACAATTATGCAACTAAAAAGAGGGAAGATTTTAAAAGCTTATATGTCTTATGAATCTTAAGAAAAGATAATCTCTCTCCTATTACAGCAATCCTCACAGAAAGCTTGTTTAACGTGCATTCACATGGGTACAGACACTGACCTTATCCAGCTTAAGCTTCCACATCTTAATGAAACCATCATTCGATGCTGTGACAAGAACATGATGCTCTGGAACTTCAAAACTGAACATGCCTTTTACCCTAGGGTAGAAGTATTAATGTCATGAAGATCATTTCTTCCAGGAGCTGAAGAGATGGCTCAGTGGTTGGTGAAGAGCGCTTCTTCCCCTTCCAGAGGATGAGTTCAGTCCCCAGCACCTACACTGGGTGGCTCACAACCACCTACCCCACCTCCTACTCCAAACTCTCTTCTGTCCTCTTCCGGCTTCTGCTTACATGCGGCATTTACTCACATATACAAATACACATGTACATTAATAAAAATAGTAAAAACAAATCTTAAAAAAAAAATTTCAGCACTTCAAGAAGGGGGAAAAAAAATTCAAGTGTGGTGGTACACGCCTTTAATCCCAGCACTCAGGAGGCAGAGGCAGGAGGATCTCTGTGAGTTCAAGGCCAGCCTGTTCTATATAGAGTTCTAGGTCAGCTGGTGCTACAGGGAGACCCTGTCTCAAAAAGCTAAAAAAAAGGAAATTCTTTCCAAAGAATGTGACATCATTATAAAACCATGTGCACAGACTCTAGCTTTTTCAATGCTTCAAGTATTTTCAAAATGTTCAGCAACCATTGGCTTAAAATATCATGATGCACATACTCCACTGGTCAACCATTTTCAGCTCTGAACATCAGATAAAACTGTCCCTCTCTTAAGGCAAAACTGAAATGATAACTACTCAGGTTACTTAAAGGATGAATAAAGAGGAGGAAACAGCCCATAATCTCAGGAACTCTTGTTCAGGAAGGGAAGACTAGAGATTCATGGAGAGGAGAGCACGGCCTTCCCCATCCCCAGCCCCTCCTAGTCTAAGCTGCTTTTCAGCATCTGGATTCCGGTTGTTGTTTAGTTGACTGTTATTGTTGCCTCGCTGACTGTTCTGCTTCCATTTTTGCTGGATAAATTTTTCGAATAGAAGTAAAACCATGATACTTTCAAGCTTAAAACCCTCAAAACTGTAATCTGCTTTAAAGTAACATGGACAAGTCTGGCAAGATGGCTCCCTGGGTAAAAGCACTTGCCATGTATACCTGACAGCCTGAATTTGATCTTCAGAACCCACTTAAAGATTAAAGGAGAGAACCAATTCCACAAAGTTATCCTCTGATCTCCGTTTGAGCACTGTGGCATGTATGTTCACACAAACACACAAGTGTGCTTGTACACACATACACATACACATTTAAAATAACATGGGAGGAGGAGGTGGCTGGGATAAAGATATGTTGAGACTGGTTCTGAAGCAGCAAATGCTGGAGCTGGTGGCGGGGTCCGGGGAGCTGGTGGCAGGGTCCAAGGAGCTGGCGGTGGGTCTGGGGAGCTGGTGGTGAGGTCTAGGGAGCTGGTGGTGGGGTCTGAGGAGGTGGTGGTGGGTCTAGGGAGCTGATGGTGGAGTCTGAGGTGGTGGTGGGTCTAGGGAGCTGATAGTGGAGTCTGAGGAGGTGGTGGTGGGTCTAGGGAGCTGATGGTGGAGTCTGAGGAGTTGGTGGTGGGTCTAGGGAGCTGATGGTGGGGTCTAAAGAGGTGGTGGTGGGTCTAGGGAGCTGATGGTGGGGTCTAGGGAGCAGGCTCCTTAAACTGGTCTGCTTGCCCATATAGTTCTTCTAAGTCAAAAAACAAAGGCTGGGAATGTAGCTTGGTGGTAGAGCATCTGCCAAACCACCTACTGCCTTACTGTAATGGGTGGGAGCTGTGAACACACAAGAGATTGTGTCTTTGGTTCATCATTAAAAACAAACAGTGGGGACTGGAAAGTCAACGGTTCTGACTGTTCTTGCAGAAGACCTGGGTTCAAATCCCAGCACCCACATGGCAGCTAACAAACTGTAACTCCGGTTCCAGGGGATCCGACAGCCTCTTCTGTCCTCCACGGGAATTGCATGACACAGGTGCACTTACTTACATGCAGGCAATACATGCATACACATAAAATAAAAATAATAAAATAGTCCCTTAAAATGTTAAAAAAAAAAAAAACAAACACACAGTAAAACAGCATTGTTAGGAATGCATCTGAAATGGTCTCCCTTAAATGGGTTTACTTTCTAATACAGGAAAAGCACTGCCCATATCCTGACTGCAGGACTGAATATTCACAATAAGTTTCTCAAAACAACTGTTTTCTGGAAAATAAGATTTAAGGCTTATTTGAGACCTGGGTGAACACGCTGTTGAACCACACGGAAGCAAAATGCTGTATACTCTCTCATTTTTCAAAGTCACAGTAAAAAGAACAGGGACGTTAAGAGTCAGGTGACTTGGACCTGGGCCAGCTCTTTTACTCAAGTGGACTATGATTTGGGCCAAGTCAATGAACCACTTACTGAGACCATCGATGCCTCAGCTAGGAGGATAGAGCTCGATGCCATTTCACTTTCCCGATGGGGAAAAGGGGACGTGGGCAAAGGGATTAAGTAAAAGGACAAAAGTGGTCAGGGATAAAGCTCAATACTGCTTCCTTTCTGGTTTGTTCAAATATGCCTGCTGTCAGGTTCCACATCTAACAGACGTATTTTTAAAACATGCAAATGAATCGTCTTGGTCACAGCTTCACTCCTCCTGTGTTATGAAGTCAGGAACATTTTTCGTCATCTCCTTACACGCCAGGCATCATATACATGGGACAGTATCAGTATCTTACATGTTGATCAGAAACAATCACATATGCAGCATTCAGTAAGATTACACATACACACAGACCAATTTTTTTAAAGATTTTTTTTTTAAATACCTGTTTTCATGAGCTTTAAATTCACAGAGGCACACCAGTGAATCACAGTCAAAAAACCTTACAACTTCTTCGTCACCAGCCACTGCAAGGACAGAATCCTCGGAGAAAGAAAAAGAAAATAAATACCCAGAATGCCCTCAGTTCTGACCACCTCAGATCCTTCCACCACTACTTCCTAAGGACTTACTGAGAGAAATGTAACAGAAGAAATCCTCTTTTCATTTGTGATGGTGCCACTGACAGACGCAGTGTCGAGGTGATACACATCTATTCTATTCAGTAGAACAACTACGTACTTCTCTCCACTTGGGGACCATTCCACTATGTGAGCATCTGTAAGTTAAAAATATCTTATCTTAGCTGGGTGTGTTGGTTTAAGCCCAGAACTTGGGAGAAGGAAGGAGAATTCAGGAGTTCAAGGCCAGCCTCAGCTATAAAGCAATTTTGAAGCCAGTTTAGTCTATATGAGATTTTATCTGAACCCTCTCATCCCCAACTTATAAATCCCTTAAAAAGGTCATCATAATAAAAATAGCAAACACTTATAACTGCATCTTCTCACAGGAAAATTGTTTCATATTTCATAATACACTCAGAACATACATCTCGGGTTAGGGCTGGGAGATGGCTCAGTGGTTAAGAGCACTCGCTGCTTGTGCAGAGGACCTGAGTTCTGTTCATGGCTCACAACCACCTGCAACTCCAGTTCCAGGGTATCTGATGCTCTTCTGGCCTCCTCCATATGGTGCACATATATACATGCAGGCATTAATATATACACATAATAAATAAATCTCTTTTTAAAAAAATTACTGAAGGTCATAAAATGGTATGTGAGAGTTGTAAGAACCCAGATCTGAAATGGGAAGAGAAAATAACTTAGAACATGTGCTCTGAACTAACTACCATCAAGCAGGAAATAAACGTGTACACACACATTTAATGTGTATACATACATTCATATTTCAGTTACTACAAAATATATTCCAAACTACTCACTTTGCTTTATATTTTTTATGAAAGCTGATCTTCCCTCCACAAGATTCCACGTTCTGCAAAACAGGAGGCTTGTTTATATCACAATCTCCACTTCAGTCACTAAGTGGAAAAGTACATGCATGGAGAATAGTACCCGCCCCCACATACAGGATAATGGATTTTAAAGGACGTGCCATCTGTTTTGTAGCAATGTCATGAAACGTTTACTATCAAGCAGAATTAAAGCACAGCCTAGCCCAGACCTTTTAAACACGTTGCTATCCATTAGTTTCATCTATATTTCTCTTTAGGGCCATCCATGTCTTGCTTCACTTTACAATGACTGGAGCGTAGTGCATGTTTGAAATAAATCTCTCTCTCTCTCTGTCTCTCTCTCATATATATACATATATATATATAGGTTTGTTTTTCAGACTGGCCTCACTATGTACTATGTAGCCCTGGCAGGCCTGGAACTTGCTATGTAGACTAGGCTGGCCTTGAACCCATGAGATCTGCCTGCTTCTGCCTCCCGGGTGCTAGGATTAAAAGTGTGTACCACTATGCCTGACCAATATAAGTCATTTTTATATTACCATTATGAAGTAGTCCAGTAATTTTCTATTTTTCCCTGTTTTCACAGTAACTTAAAATAGTTGAAAACTTAGGAACAATACAGAAAACCAGTATTTGATTACTGTAAGAGATTAATTAGTAAAGACGCCCTTGAGCATATAACTTACCTTAATGTCTTATCAGTACCAACGGACAGGGCCAACTTGCCAGATGGATGAATAGAAAGGAACGTCACATGTCCTCTAAAAGGAAACTGACAGTTAGCCCCCAGCCTCAGTGGCTCATCTGAAAGGCCAATGGGAATAGCAGACTCACTTGTGGGCTTTAATGGACTTCAGGCATTCCCATTTCTTTGCATCCCAGACACAGATGAGTCCATCTTCCGCTCCACTGATTAAGTGCCTGGTGCCATAGAATCTCAGACAAGTGATTGTGCCTGTAAAAACCAAGACAAGCAAAACTGTATTCTCTTGAAAACAAATTTCATCTCTTGTTGGAAGATTGTACCATAGCAAGTAAAACGTGAGGGTATGACTGCAGCTTGGCAGTAGCTCTGCCCAGCACACAGAGGATCCCACAGTTCAACCCCAGTACCACAAAAGCGGAACAAAAGAAAACATCCAACGTCCATGAGACTCCTGAAATACACTGGAAAGTCTCAGGTGAAGAATTAAAGTTCTTGTGTTAAAACACACATGTCTATTTTGGTGGTGCTGGGAGATTAAATCCAGAGCCTTGTGCATGCTGAGCAGGAGCGTTACTAAGCTATACCGCCAGCCTATGAATGCAGGTTTAAGGCTATGCAAATGTTTTCAGTTGTAGATGTAAACTTGAACTAATCAGTTCACTGCCTCTATAGTCACAAATAGTGATTATAATCACGGAGAGGTTCAGGAGTCAAACAAAGCTAACTGCCAACCAGCTCATCTAGAAAACAAATGACGATGTTCAGCCACGATTCCTACTTTAAACAGCGGGCGAGCTATCCAATCAGCCACAATGCAATCATCACTGATGCAGAACCGTCATCTTATTCCCATGTTTTCATTCACTAATTACTAGGACAATTCTATACAGTGTTACATTTGGGGCTATGCTGTCTGTGAACTTCTTCCAGTGGTAAGCAAATTTCCTTAATCATTTCAATCTCTCTACAGCCTTAACTTCCCTCCACCAAAATTGAAGTCTTGCTCTCCCCAAAGACTTTCTTTTACGGATCAAATACTAAAAGGCTGGAGAGTGAGACAGTAAGAGAACTTACATTCCTCTAGCCCCAAAGCAGTCCCAACTATCACACCTGTACCTCCAGGTAAAGTTAGCTCTTCTCTTGAAGCCTGTGTCAACCCGATTTACCAACCTACATTTCAAGACCAAGCAGATCACTGCCCTCAACTCCCGCTGGCTGTCTGTTTTGATACAAGTAGTATTTCTGGAAAGCAGCTAACAGTTCACTCCCTTAGAATGCATGCAACTGCTTTCACAAAGCCGTGCAATTATAACATGAGCTATATACACTATCCACAAAGCCTGACATTTACCATTTGGTTCTTTGCAGAACATAAGTGAAAACCCAAGTCACCGTTTCCATCTACACACCTCCTGATCAATCCTTTAGAGTGTTCTTTATCTGGGCTTGCACACCACCTCAAAATGGAAACGTCTTCGGCTGTGGTTTCCCTTCTCTGCTATCCTCTTTGGCAACTATGCTCTTTCTGTCCATGAGGCCACCTAGAAGAGCTGATCTATTACCAACTATCTGACGGAGGATTTACACAAGCAAAGGAAGAAAACAAGAACCCTGCTTCATTCATCCCCCATCTAAACCGAGTCCTTTTCTTACTGCGGAATATAACAGCTTAAACAGATTACATTTTTGTCCAAGCCTAAGAGACACAGCTGACCTTCCTATGAATCGGGAGTTAAGGGATGGAGAAGGAATGTATGTGGAGATTCCTCATAGCCTGGCTTCAGATGAAGAGCAAGACACCTGTCAGTGAAGGTAAGGACCATGCGAGAAGGCAAACATCTGTCACTTCAACTTCACTCCTGAACCAATGCTTAGAGCATTACCAGCAGGCAGGAAACGGGCCCTATTTTATCCGCCTTTCTCTGCAGGAAATCAACCTTCCTGGCTGTTTCCTCAAACTAAATAACACAAAAAATTAATTCTACTCTGAGTTCTCCTTTTTCTTGCCTTTTCCCCCCAATCTTCTTGATTACATATTAAGTTCTTCCCTCCTTTCTGTTTCATGGAAAATACAAAAAAAAAACAGTACTAAGAAAAAAAATTACTTAGTCTTTCTAGCCCTTGACCTGCCTCTGTATTGGGTAACTCCTCTCAGACATGGACAACCCAACCACCAGTGTGCAATTATTGCTCCTTGACCTCAATTCCAATGATCTTTTTTCCTCTGTCTTTTACTCTGGTATATCTACAGTCTTCTTTGGAAACCATGACCAGGCTGTAGGTAGGTCCATGAGACTAAAACACAGAGACATTCTATCTCCGTAGGAGTGAGAGAGCAACCTGAAGACAAGGGGTCTTTTTTTAAGTTTTTATTTCTGTATCTCTATCACAGAGTCTGCTACATTAACAGACATGTACTGAACAGTCTTAACTGAAGTCAAACTGTAAGGAATCAACACCTCCACATATCTGAAAGGATACAACTTCTTACCATTGTGATGTACCAGAGCCCCATGTTCTATCTTCTTTTTCATGTCATAAATGTGAATTGTTTCATCTTTGCTCCCAGTGACTACAAAGCGACTGTTCACAGCCACTGCTGACAAGGAGGCAGTGTGGGCATGGTGAGTGAAGTCAGCCACAGGAGTCCATTTCTGCAGAAGAGTGAGACATAGGATCAATGGCCCAGTCACATCACAATTCTCTGGAAATAGATAATGGTTCCACAATCCTTAAAATCTTCTAGTGGGCCCCACAGAGAAAAACCATGCAATGACATGCAAAGAACTGGGGAAGTGACAAGGAATGCACAGAGGTGGGATGGCAATGGGGGGAGTCGTGTCATCTCCAGATAGTGGAGATGAGTCTGAAGACTTAACATGTGAGACTTCCACATCATTCATCCAAATGCTCAGCTTTTTATATGGAGTTATTCATTCAAACATGCGTGGTACTAAATATAGGCAGGAGAAATACAGCAGTGACCAGTCTGTATTCAAATGAAGCTTCCATTCCAGGGACAGAGATATAAAGCAATACCATGTTACACAGAATGTAACAAGTTCTACAAACAAACAAACAAAAAGGGTATGTGTGTATTTTCATTAGTACCAACATGAGCCCTTGAGAATTGCCAACGAGGAGTCTCAGGAGGAACTCTGTGCTTATGACTATGAGATGTTTGGTTTGAGAAGTGGGACTGGATGAGTGCAAATAACAGAACACACAGACACACACACACACGAACTCTTCAAACTGAATTACATGAAAAATAGTTATTAGCAAACTACACCAAAGAGGAAAGAAAGAAAATCAAAGTTCTTTGCATTTACCTAAGAAGAATCATTGCACATTAAATCCTAAAGAACTACAGCAGCAGATAGTCTTTCCATCAATCAGGAACAATAGGCCCCCTTTGAGTCAAGTCACAATGTACCAGATGGACTGCTACAACTTACTTTTGTTTTGGGTAGGTTTCTTTGTATTACTTACTTACTGACTTATTTATCATCAAGGCCTTAATATGTGGCGAGGCTGGTCTCCAAATCACTATGCAACTCAGGAAGTTTGGAACTCTTCATCCTCCTGCCTTGGCCTCCTGGGTGCCAGGATTACAAGCCCAAGACACCCACCCCACTCAATCTTGCTAGGGCTTTTAATCAAAGTATAAACTTAGTGTATTCTTGCTAGGCGTGGTGGTGCACGCCTTTAATCCTAGGACTTGGGAGGCAGAGGCAGGTGGATCTCTTTGAGTTCAAGGCCAGCCTGGTCTACACAGTGAGTTTCAGGCTAGCTGGGGCTACAGGGAGATCCTGTCTCAAAAAAAGACCAAAAAACCTCTTTGTTTATTCTTGTTACATAAGTAATACCAGTTCTCTGGCCTACTGTTCAGTTTTAGTGGTATCATCTGGTCATGGTACCAGCTTGAGTATGAGACTCTTTGGTGGGCCCTGCCATCTTGTATTTATAAATGGTGAGCAGTCTCTTAACCTCTGAGAAACCTCCCATTGATTCATCTGTAAAATGATAACAGTTTGTCTCAGGGTTGCTGTGGATCTGGAACATAGTATGCAAGTTCACTACAAAGAAAACACACTAAAGACATACTCAAAATAGGTTCTAGAGCACTAGAATTGCTGCAGGAATAATAGTTTTTAGAGAAGTCAGGAGATCAGATTTCTAAATGTTTTTTAACATTTATTTATTTTGGGTGTCTGTGAGTGGGCACGAACCTGGAAGTCAGAGGACAACTTGGGATCAGTTCTCTCATTCTACCATGTGAGATCCAGGGATCAAACTCAGGTTGTGAGGCTTGAAGGCAAGCACCTTTACTGAGTGAGGCATCAACCTGGGATCAGAGTTCTAGTCCTGAGCATTCCTATCTGACTATGTTAGCAATTAACTTAATATCCTTATTCTCATATTTAGTAAAGATTTTCATATTGTGCTATATTTTACCTCCACATATACATTTTCAAAAATATTTTATTTATTATTTTTATTTTATGAGTGTATTGCCTGCCTGTATGTGAGCGCACCCGTGTCATGAAATGCCACCGAAGTCAGAAGAAGGCTTCGGATTCCCCTGGAACTGGAGTTAAGGATGGTTTGTAGCCACCATATGGGTACTGGGAATCAAACCCGGATCCTCTGCAAGAGCAGTCAGTGCTCTTAACCACTGAGCCATCTCTCCAGTCCCCTACCTCGATAGAGTTATGTCTCTTGTTCACTGATCCCTTCTAGCAGGAAGGTTACTGCGGGATCCACACCTCTGGCATCTTTTCCCCCTGCTTGCCTCCCCACAGTAAACTCTCAATCAATGAGTAAATTCCTATCGCCTTCTGGATCCTAATCCAGCTCTAATATCTTGTGAGGTATAAAGGCAGAAATTCAGTGACATAGGAAGTTATTCTTCCATAAGACTTTTAATAATCACATGTCAGCTTAGATCTACAGCTCATTTTTCCATAAAAAAGTCAGCTACTTTCATGCCTTTGGTATGGTTTGGTGTCTTTTCATTTTATTTTAACATACAATAAACACACATTTTTATGGAGCAAAATGCTCTATTTGAATACCTCTATACATTGTGCGGTGACCAGATCAGGGAAATTAACATGTCCATCTCCTCAACCATGTATCTAGTTTTTTTGCGTTGACAACATTCAAAAATACTTTCTAGTAGCTACTCTGAAATGTACAATTAATTGTCTATGGGAAGTCACTTTACCCAACCAACTGCATTTCTCTTTTTTAAAAAAATTTTGTGTATGAGTGTATTGTCTGCATGTGTGTAAGTGCACCCGTGTCATGTAATGCCCACGGAGATCAGAAGAGGGCGTTGGATCTCCTGGAACTGGAGGACGGTTGTTAGCCACCATATGGGTGCTGGGAATTGAACCCGGTCTTATGCAGGAGCAGCCAGTGCTCATAACCACTGAGACATCTCTCCAGCCCCCAAATGCCTTTCTGTACGCCTTAGCCTTCCTCTCTCCATCACCTTCCTACCTCCGCCCCAACCACATCTACTCTCCACTACGAGATCAACTTCTTTCGTTGCCTTCCAAGGACATTTTCGTGCAACAGAAAGTACTATTTCATTCTGGCAAACTCCGTACAGAGACAGCTCAGGCCAGCTTTGAACTCGCAATCCCCCTGTCTCAGGCTCTCAAGCGCCGGGATTCCGGACACTAGCCTGCCGGCTTTTCACCGCGGTCCTCCATCAACTATCCACCGAAACCCGAGAGGAAACGCGGACGCCCAGTGTTTACCTCGGCGTGGGCCCGAGCCTGACTTTCCCCGCCCCGCAGCCCCGGGCTCGCGGGGGGGGGGCCTCACCTGATGGTCGCCCCTCGTCGCGGGCTCCGGGTGGACTGTAAACCCGAACAGGACCTGCTCGTAGCTGCCCGCCAACAGCTCCATTCAGCAGCGCACGTGCCTTCCCCGGAACCCAGTGACTGCAGGAGCGGGGAGCGAACCGGACGCCAAAGGAGGCGGGCCTTCCTGCGTCGCGCGCGGATAAGACGTCATGCTCAGGGACATGCTCAGGGCCCCCCCCCCCCCTCCCCGGGCCACTTTAGGCTTCTGCTTCTGTAGCTATGGCGTCTACGCCTAGAGGTCAACGTAGCCCAGTGAGTTACGCCTGAGGGGAGTAGGCAGGACATCTTTCGCGCAAACCCATTTCTGATACATATAGGAAGGGGGGGCAATTTCCGGTTTGGGTGGTGGTTAGCGGCGCCTGTGGTTTGGAAGGCCTTGGGCGTGTGGAGGAAATCGGGAATTTTACTTGTTTTGATTGAACGATCTGTTAGGCCTTGTCTGGCTTTTCTGTCGCTGTCGTGCTGTAGTTATCCTACCAGTTCGTGGAAACCCTTGTGTTCACTGTTCAGTTAGTGCTACTCTTCCATAGGTTTCGAAAAGCCACACATTATTGTCTGTCTATTGTAATTATTTTCTCCTAAAACTAAAGTTGGAGTATGGCCCCTTGACTTGGGGCAAAGTGACTGAGGAAGTCGCATTTCATCTTATACATGGTCTTTAACATTTTACTCTAGATCATACTAGTTCATTTTAGTGCAAGAGTAATAGTTTAAAGGTGGGGCGGAGCTGGAGAGATGGCTCAGCAGTTATGCTCTCTGAGGACCTACGTTCCCAGCGTCCACGGCTAACAACCGTCGGTAATTTCAGTTCCCGGGAATCTGACGTCCTCTTCTGGCCTCCATAGACATTGTAGGCACGGGTTTAGTTTTTACCTACAGGCAGGCAAAACATTCACCCACAAAATTTAAAAAGATATTTTTAAATGGAAAAAACTGAATGAAACTACTTCTGAATTACCTACTTTTACCCGGTTTCTGGAATGTCCTTCACATCTCAATTCATTACTCCCAGGGAAGTCCTGTATGAGCAACTGTTTGAGAAATATTAATGTTTGGTGTGTTTTTGAAACCAGTTTTAACTTATAAAGAAGTTTACTACAACAGAGCATTTATTGTTAGAAATTCCTTAGATCAGTGAGTGGAGTTTATGTGAGCAAGTAAAGCAGGACCTATCACCCAATCCAGAGAGGCAGATGTGGGAGGATCACTGAATTTGAAGCCACATGAGACCCTGTCTCAGCCTTCCCTCTCCCCAAAACAAAGTATGACCTGTACGCAGCACTTGGGAGGTAGTGATAGAAGAATGACGACTTAATGGCCACTCTTAGCTACATAATGAATCAGCTGCTTGGGCTACAAGATTCTCATCTCTAACTCCCATCCCCATCTCCACGCCCACCCTCAAAACAGTAAAAACATGATTTGCAAATTGGGCAGTTCCCAGAACCTGTGGTGTGATCGGACAGCATTTATTTAACAACAACAACAAAAAAAAGCGTGACATAAACAATTAGCTGCAGCTTAGTCCATCCAGTTTTCTATTGATTGTAACTTAATTTGCTACTTGGCCTCTCATAACCAACAGAATCTCAGTCATTGTGATTAAGCTCTACATTGGTTTAACCTGATCCACCCAGTGTGGGTGCCTAGTTCAAATCCATGGCCTCCACAAACCTCACACTATATTGGAATCTAGTATCAGACTCACACTTTAGCTCCCTTAAAGTGTTCATTGGGTTTTTAGAGGAGACCTTTGTGGGTTCAAAAAATCGTGTACTACAACCAGGAATCTTAGGATATGATTGGTTCTAGAATGGAAACCTAAGGGTGGGCATCATAAAATGATTCTATTTAAAGAAATGATCAGGAAAATTAGTGAAACAACAACAAAAAAAATTAGTAAAACAAATCACAGTTCAGAAAACTTAGAGAGCACACAATTGAAAAGTTAAATATGGGAGGGTGAGTGCTCACTGATAAGTTCCAAAGATTTTTAATTCCTTGTAATTACAAAAACAAACCAAAAAACTGTGGATCTAAATTTTTGAAGGAGTGCATAGATAAAATTTCATTTCGTTTTTTAAAGGATCAATGCCTTGAGGGGCTAGAGAGATGGCTCAGCAGTTAAGAGCACTGGTTGCTCTTGCAGAGGACCCATATGGTGGCTAACAACTGTCCTTAACTCCAGTTCCAGGGGATCCAGCACCCTCTTCTGACCTCCACAAGCATTGCATAACACGGGTACACTTACCCACATGCAGGCAATACATGCATACATATAAAAATAATTTAAAAAAATTTTTTTGTCTTTTTGAGACAGGGTGTCCCTGTAGCCCCAGCTGGCCTGGAACTCACTTTGTAGACCAGGCTGGCCTCAAACTCACAGAGATCTGCCTGCCTCTGCCTCCTGAGTGCTGGGATTAAAGGTGTGTGCCACCACACCCTGCTTAAAAAAATTTTTTTTTAAAAGATTGATGCCAGGGCTGGAGAGATGGCTCAGTGGTTAAGAACACTGGTTGCTCTTGCAGAAGATCCGGGTTTGAATCCTAGCACCCACATGGCAGCTAACAACTGTTTGTAACTCCAGTCCCAGGGGATCTGACAGCCTCTTCTGACCTCCGTGGGCATTGCACAACATGGGTGCAGTTACTAACATGCAGGCAATACATGCATACACATAAAGTAAAAAGAAAAAGAAAAAGATTGATGCCTTGAATAAATGAATCCCAGGGTGAAATACCCTAATTTTGGTCCTAAGTGAAAGCCAGCACTGCAGCTGCTTCTGCTTGTTCTTGGTCTTGAACGTTCTCTTCACAGAGAACAAAGTGGCAGCAGTAGTTTCATACCTTGCTCAGGTTGCTGAATTTATTGTCTGAAAAAGAAACACTACAGAATTATATACCTGTTCAACTAGATTCCAAGTAAGCATACTTCCTCTAAAACTTCCTTTCTCTCCAAACAAGTTGTTAATCTCATTGTGAAAACTGTAGTTGCCTAGGAACAACCAACTGTTGAGAGCACAAAGCCTAATGGGATTTTTGTTTTGCTTTAAGTCAATTGATTGAAAATTTTGTACTTGAGCCCATGCCTGCCTTCATCCATCCATCCAACAAATGCTGCATACCTGGCTTTGGTTCATATGCCAGAGAAGAAACAGCAGGTGAGCAGTGGCAGTAAACAAGACAGATTGGAGAAGCATCAGCTCTGTTTAGAAAAATCACAGGAGCGCAGCATTCTCAGTTACTCTCCTTTTGCGGTGTGAAAGGTAGCAAGTCTGTCAAATTCTAGGACTACAGGGATTGTGGAGAGTTGTGAATTCTAGGACTACAGGGATTGTGGGTAGTTGTAAATTCTAGGACTACAGGGATTGTGTGTGGTTGTGAATTCTAGGACTATAGGGATTATGTGTAGTTGTTTTTCCAGAGGCCTTTGGTCCCCTTTGCTTTTCAAAGAGGAAAGCAGAGATTGTGGTTAGTGTCCTTGGGTACTCATGCGGACAGCTTGCTCCATGTGCTTCGTGGGAGTATTCCAGGTGAAGCCAGATAGTTCTGCACTGGGAACAAGAGTAAAATGATGCCTGTGAACCCTTCCTTGTTTCTTTTACCTTCAAGGCCCCCAAATGCCTGTCTTCACCCAGGATCCTTGCTTGCTTCTGTCCCTCGCTACAGCCTCTTCCTGAGTATTTTAACATGGCATGTTGGTCTCTTGCTTCCTCAGCCTCCTTGCCTTCGTGTCAGTGTCCAACTTCCACCTTCAGACTACAGCCTCGACTCATCCATTCTTAGCCACAGTACTGATTTTCTTTCAATAAAAGATTCTAAAATGACTTTAGAAGCAAAAGTTTTTTTTCCAGAAATAATCCTTAGCCAGTGTGTTTTATTGGATGTTTTTGCCGCTATAGTAATTAGGAATTTGATGCGATGGAGGCTACTGTGGTTTTCACAGACATCTGTGACATCTGGAAGTTGGCCACTTTAGCACTGGTATCAGGAGCCCACAGTCAACAAGTATGCAACAGCCAGTCCAGACCTGGCTTCATAATGTTAAAGAAATAGTAGCTCTTCTCTTACTTGTCAAAGGATGGTAAGGGGACTCTTCAGGACCATCTCAGAGGTATAGGGACAGGCCAAGGTAAGACAGTTGCAGAGTTACTTTGGCTCCAGTTATCTCATATCTGTGATCTCTGCAGTACCCCTGGGGAACAGGTGGAGGACAAATAAGACTTTCCTCCATCTAACCAGATGCTTACTGTCCACACAGCTTTCCTCCATCCCTTCTAAGAATTCTGTTTACATCTTTTATTTATTTTAACGTGTATGAGTGTTTTGTCTGCACCCATGTCATACACTGCACCCATATAAGTGCACCCATGTCATACACTGTCTGTGGAGGCCAGCGGAGGGCGTCAGATACCTTGGAACTAGAGTTACAGACAATTGTTAGCTCCCTTGTGGGTGCTGAGGACTGAAATCAGGTTCTCTGCGAGAGCAGCCAGTGCTTTTAACCACCGAGCCATCTCCAGCCTCCAAAGGTATCTTTTTAAACATTGAAACTTTGTTGGGGATTTGACTCAGTAGGAATGCTTGCCTAGCATGCACAAGCCCTGGGTTCCATTCCTAGCATTACCTAAACATTGCAGCTTTTTGTGACCTAGCTGCTGAAAGTTGGGGAGAGGTTGGCGATGTCGAATCCGAGTCCACAGCAGCTGAATTGGTGCACGCATTTTAAACATGCCCAGGGAATGAGAATGTGAATGAAAGGTTGGTGCTGCTTGCTTTATCATGCTTTTTATTTAAAAACAAAACAGAACAAAACACTGATACACCTGTAATCCTAGCACTCTGGAGGCTGAGGCAGAGAGTCAAGATTTTGAGGTCAGCAGGGCTATGCAGTGAGATGCTTTCACAGAAATAGAAAAATGTAGCATGGACCTGCATCAGTGCAAGGTGTGTGTGGCCCACAGGTTCCTCTTGATTAGCATTTTGGAGCTCATTGGGGTAATGGTTTCTGTACTTAGATGGCCAAGGAGAAAGTCTTGTGTTGATTCCAGTAGTTATTCTTAGCAGATAACTGGGGAGGGAGATGTCTGCTTATGGAATTTGTCTTCATCTGTAATATCAAATTCTTACCCATTATGGCAGTGGGGAGTGGGGACAGGCAGGGGAGAGGTCTGGCTTCTTTAAAGTTTACACACAAACAGAATTCTGCAGGTCTCCCCAGTTTTGATGTTTGGGGCAGGTGCTGGCACCTGGAAGCCAGAGACCTTTACAGTTCCCCAGGTGATCCTAGTGCATTCCTGCTCACACCTTTGCCTTGTTGTCAGGAAAACAAGCAATTGCCCACCAGGAATTGATACCAAATATAATTGCCCTGTTTCATGAGTAGTTATTAGAGGTGTTTGCAAGGGTTAGTCCATCCACTGGAATATTAGGCCCAGGAATAAAAACTGTGGGTTCATCTTCTTTAGTTTTTGGAGAAATGGCCAGATGGGGGAATTTTGTAGGCTTTAGTATGACTCAACAAAATAACTATTACAGCTACTGGCAAAGGTGAGTGGGGTTTTTTTTTTTCTACTTTAAAAATGGAAACATTCGAGTTAATACCGTTCTTTTGGCAACTGCCAGACTGTTGCTTTGAACATAGGGTTTTTTTTGTTGTTGTTGTTTTTTAATGTTGAGCAGAATAATCCTCACTTGAAACTTGTAGAAAGGAGTGTTCGTATGTGGTGTGTGTGACTGGGAGTGCATGTGGGTGTATGTGCGAGAGTATGTGAGTGTGTGGTGTCTGGTGTGTGTGGTGTATGTTTTGTGTGTCAGAGAGAGAGAGATAGATTGATTATGCCTCTATTGGTGATGATCACTCTTATTCTCTTTGCTCTGTTATTAGAGAGAAGCTGGCATTCCAGCCCTGCCTAGGTTGCTCCTGGGACAACAGCTCTTACCGTCTTTCCTACTACGGCTGTGGCTACACAGAAGACGGAAACAGGCCGAGACTTCCGTTTGTGAGTAAGACCCCTGAACCACTGCCTGGACCATGGGTTATACCAGAAGTAACCCTTGCTGAAATGAATCTTGGATTATTTGTGTGCTTGATTATGTAAATGTTTCCTTTCTTTTTGAGACAGTTTAAGTTCTTATTCTTTATGCCTTATTCATCTGAAGGCAAAGCAATTGATGAAGTCTAGATCTAAATTCTTGCCACTAAGTTTTAGATGATCATTGTAAGATTGCCAAGTAGATTTTGCTAACTCTTTAAGCTAGGATGGGGGAAACTTTTGGTCTTGATTGGCTAGAGCAGGGGACATGAATGCCATTTGGAGAGGTATTTTAACACTGATTAATAAAGTAATATATTTCCAAGCTACACAAAGATGTATGGCGAAAGGGCAAACCTGAGCGCCCTGTTTCTCACCCCCTCTCATGAAAGTGTTCTTGGAGTAATTTTCATTTTCTACATCTTTCTTCCACACTCTTGCTAACAGAGTGTAGTTGGGTTTTCTTTCTGCTTGCAGGTAGAGATGGAGCTTGCTTTCTTGCTCGTATGAACTTCCAGGTTAAAAAAGAGCTTGCTTTCTTCCTCTCTCTAGGAGTTAGAGGGGTTGGGGGTTGGCACTGGTGCTGATATAGAGCCTCACAAAGCCCAGTACCCAAACCAAGCTAGCCAACCAACCAAATAAAACAGTAACCTCCAAAACCTTGGCAGGCAGAGGTAGAAGGATCACAGCAAGTTTGAGGCCAGCCTGGTCTATATAGTGAATTCCAGGCTGGTCAGGGCTCCACCACGAGACTCTGTCTCAAACTTCTTTTACCTATCTTTAAGTTTGCCTCAATGTTTTTTATTTTTGCTTGTCTTTGAGAACACATTTCTGGAAGTGGAGGGGCTGCATTAAAACATTAAGCAGCAAATTGCTCAACAAAACCCTGCTTGAGTTTATACTCCATCATGGGTCATGATGGGAACTCTAGCTTCTCTTTGTTCTCTGTGAATAACCAGACAGGCAGGGGAGGCACTGATCTGTTCTTTAGGGTAAACATCTTCAAAAATCTTCATTGGGAACCAGGAAGTGGTGACACATAGCTGTAATCCTAGCACTTGGAGACTGAGGCAGGAGGATTAGGAGATGAGGCTAACCTGAGCTATATAGGGAACCCTTGTCTTTAAAAAAAAAAAAAAGTTCAGTGTGCTTGTGCCCCACAGCTGTGCTGTCCTTTATCAGCTTGTGCCCCATGGCTGTGCCGTCCTTTGTCAGCTTGTGCCCCACGGCTGTGCCGTCCTTTGTCAGCTCAGCTTGTATCCCATGGGTGTGCCGTGCTTTGTCAGCTTGTGCCCCATGGCTGTGCCGTCCTTTGTCAGCCTTCACCTTTTGGTGGTGTCCTCTTTGCTTAACTGTGTAGTTGGGGAAAGTGGCACTTGGCAGTTAAAAAACTGACTGTTCTCTTGAGGTTTGCTTCCTAGTGACAGTCTGTATGGTTGGCTCTTCCTTAGCATTAAAGTTGACTTTAATATCTAGACATGCAGTTTCTAAAACATTTATTTTAATATCTTGTTTATATTATATTTTGATCATTTATTTGAACTTTTGCCCTAAACTTTCATTTTCAACTTTTAAAAGCTTTCAAGTGTGCCTTTTATATAAATTATCTTGTTTTTTTTCCTCCCTTTGGGTTTTTCCTTTTTTGCAGATGCTCAGTTTTGCATCTTTTTAAAAATCATTACCTGAGATTTTAGTTTTGTTTTTCTTCTTTTGCCCATCCCTCTCCCTCTGTTTTGTTGGTCACCTTTGTATCTTTAAGTAGCAATGTAGGTGTGAGTATGTTAATCTAGTTCAGAAGTTAAAGTACATTTTCTTTCCACTCGTGAGAACATAAAATAACATTCTTTCCTCACCTATTGGCCCTTCCCTCTGTTCTTCTCACAATTTCTGTTGGCCCATTCTCAAATTTTTATTCCATTCTTTAGTCAAATTATTATGGATAGTGTGATTATTTCACTTAAAAATTGTAAGTACTCAAAAGGTCCAACAAAAAAAAATTATAAGCACATTCTTGTTGCTGTGGTTACACTGTGCCATGCTCTCCCACCCTGGGGGGATACTTGATGAGAAAGCCGTTTGGCAAAACTCAGCCCTTAAGACTCTGAGTTGGGGCTTTTTCTCAAGCCTCGATTTGGCTTCTCTTATAAAGTATGTCCTCTAAGATGCCATAACCTCTACCTCACTTTGTATACCTTGCTCTTAGGTCTTAGCTCACTAGGTTAAAGGGCAGATAGATCTCTCTCTCTCTCTCTCTCTCTCTCTCTCTCTCTCTCTCTCACACACACACACACACACACACACACACACACACACACATATACATATATCTTGCTGTAAATCCCAGTTCAATCTCAATCTTTCTGCCTCAACCTCCCCGAGTGCTGGAATTACTGGCATGCACCACCACACTTGAATTTTTCTTTTCTCCTTCTTGAAGTGCTAAGGGTTAAACACAGCCTTCTGCATGTCAGGGTAGGTGCCTTTCTGTAAGGACCACAGGTAGCAGCCTGCCTGGGCAGCTCTTAGGTCCCAGATGCTCTGTCTCCAGGTGTCTCTGTACCCTGGCTATTTAGACTTCACAAAGAACCAGAATGGGAGATTGACACTGCAGCACAGGAAAGATTTCCTTTAAGCTCAAATTCTGCCTTAGCCATTTGGAAACAAACAAAAATACTCAGTTGGTATGGTGACGTTGCTTACAGAATCAATTGTTTTTCAAAGGAGGACATTTCCGACTGAAAAGGAGGAGTTTAGAGAGATTGAAAAGGTAGTGGAACTTTCGCTCTCCATTTCATCTTATTACAAGGAGGTTGAATTAAGTTCACTGTGCTAGGAGCTAATGCAGCCCTTCCTAGATCAGGCGGTTCTATGGAACAGCTGTACATACTTAAAAGGAAGGTGTGCAGGGCTGGCGAGGTGGCTCACTCAGTACAGTACTCATCCATGCAAGCACAAGATCTCCAGCATCCACACAAAAAGCTGGCACAATGACACACCTGTAATCCCAGTGCTGGGGAAGCAGAGATGGGAGGATCCCTGCTTGCTGGTCAGTCTGCCTGAATGGATGAGCTCCACGTCCAGTAAGAGACCCTGTCTCAAAAAATAAAGTGGATAGTGATCAAAGAAGATACTTGATGTCTCCCTCTACCTTACACACACACACACACACACACACACACAGACACACACACACAGAAAAGATATCCAGCATATGTAAACAGAAAGGACAGTAAAATGTGTGCCATTCCAGAGCCCACAGAATCTGGGTTAACCAAGCTTTATATTGGGAGTGTTCTGGAATTGACTTTCCTCATTTGGTAAACATATGATTGCTTTGCACTTCGGCAGCCTCTGTGACTGCAGATACCTAATGCCCAGGTCTTTAGCTGAACCCTGGGTGTGGGGCTATGAGGAGAGTGTGTTCCTCAAAACTGAAGATTGGCTTTTAGAAGGAAGGCCAGTGCTGCAGGTGGAGAACTGGCCTGACACGGGGCTAGGAATGACCAACATGAGATACACCTGTAATCCCAGCATAGGGATGCTGAGATAGCAGGATTGCCAAGTTTGAACCAGCCTGGGCTACACAGTAAGACCCTGTCTCAAACAAAATACTGTGGATGCCAGCGGTCTCTGGTGTGTGGTTCCCAGGCCCTAGGAGTCCAGTTAGCTGCCAGAAGCCTTGTCAGCCTCGCTCCTCCTTCATAACTTTGCTTCCGCGGATTCGGTTCACTAACTTCATAATTGTAGTATTATACTAGTTAAAGATGCTTCTAATCGGTATGCAAAATAAGTGCTTTCAAGATGTGTTTAACATTTTTTACTCTTTGATAATTTCGTACACGAATACAATGTATCTTGATCATATGTACCCCCAATTCTCTCATTCTACTTCCCCAAGGTGCCCCAAACACATGTGTTTTATTTTTCAGAGCTAGATATTTTTTGTCCCAAGAAAGCATGCACTGATATTAAATCTTAACATTTTTTGCTTGAGATTCTGTTTGTTTTGTTTTTTTGTAGGAAACCACAGCTCCAGATGAAAATCAAGATGAAGACCCACTAGAAGGTAACGAAAACCTTGGGTTGCAGTGGTTGAGAGAAAAACTCAGCTCCATTTCTGGGTGCTTTGTTTTCTCAAGTTTCTAGAAACTGCAAGATCAGACTGAATGGAAAACGCCGATGTAGGTAGCTCAAGCTGTTGGCTTTGGTAATTTGTTCTGTCTGGGGAGAGTGTCAATGGGATTGATGTCAGCTGAGCCACCACTCTGGGCTTTTCTGAAGCCTGGGAAATGAATGTCTTCACAAACAGCGAAAACATACTTCTTTTCAAGATTGGTTTCCTCCCTAAGTTTAGACTTTACAATTTCCTGTCGTAAGTCCCCCAAAGTTCAAGTGCCGGAAATTTAATCTCCAGTGCACCAGTGTTGAGAGGTGGGACCTTTAAGAGATGTGTAGATCGTGAGGGCAAGCTTTCATAGACAGAAAGTGCAGTCGTCATGGGAGTGGACTCCTGAACAAAGGCAGGGCCCTCCCTACTCATGCTCCCTTCCCTGCCCTCTCACCCATTTACCTTTCACCATGGGTTGAAACACCCTCAATCTTGGGCATCCAGAACACAAGTCAAATACATTTTTATCTATACCAACCTCAGTACAAAATGGATTAGGGATTAAATATACTTTAATTTTATGTGTATGTGAGTGCAGATGGGACACAGGGCCTTTCATGCCCTTTACCGCTGAGCTATGCCCACACCTGAATTTTATTTTTTTAAGGGGAAACAGGAGATGGTAGTTGTAACTATCCCTTCCAGGCTTCCCTTTGGGCCACTGATCACTGGGGACCTGACAACGGCTATGCAATTGTAGTATGGCAAGGATTTTTCATAGATTTTAATTTATTCTGGAAAGAACCAAGTTGGTCTGCTCACAGAAGGACCATCTTTAGGGGTATGCCATATTTGGAAAAAGGGAGAAAATATTTTGCTCCTTTAAGTAATGAGAAAGCAAAAGAGGAGATAGGGCGAAATGGGCATTATTGCTTGTTGGCACTCAACGTGCCCTTCTGGTCTTTTTTCCTACCTGAGCTGTGGCTAGGCAAACCCAGCACTGCCTTTGTTATCCCTGTTGAATGGAGCATGTTACTGTGGTTTTGCATTCCCAGTGACCATCTCAGACTTTGCATGGTAGTTCTCAATTCTAAAGAGAGATGAAATTGATGTTTAAAAGAAATCTTTGTGTTATTTTCTAGAGTTTAGCTCTTAGATTTCATAGGAACAAAAGGTGCTTGTTTGAGCACTCCAGTGACTGGCTTCTTTTGAGTTAAAACACAGCTTCCTACCTTCATCAGTTACTTCATCTGTCAACAAATGAGGAAAAACCATACCAAACTGGGCATGCCAGGCATATCAGTGATCCCAATACTTGAGAGGCAGGAGAATCTTGAGTTTGAGACCAGCCTGGGCTCCATAGGGATATTTTGTCTCCCAAAAACCAAGATGACAAACCCCCAAATGTCTAGCAAGACTGTGCTTTCTGAACACAGACTGTTCATAGATTTGAATCCCACCTACTAACTGCAATTCCAGAAAAATTAATCTCTAGTCAGTTTCCCTTCTGTAAAGTGGGTCACTGATATCTACCTTGTAGGATATATGAATGTGACCTCTAAAGAGCTCTCAGGTGTCCTAACAACATCTGACATAAAATGACCACACAAGTGATAGGTAGTTATGCATTCAGAGTAGCATGGCTCCCTAGAAATGCAACAGGAAGCACAAAGCTACCCGAGGAGACAAGTTTAGATTTCTAGTAGCCAAGCCAAAGAGAAAACTTGAAGAGACTGTTTGGGGTATTCGCTGTTTTCCATGGGACGTCCCCAGTGCACATAAGACATTTGTCTACCCTTGCTCCTGTGAGTCTGCCTGTCGCTCATTTCATAGGCTGATATAGCAAACTCCGATAGGGTACAGGGAAAGCTCCCACACCCACATAGCAGCATTCCAGAGGGCCCACAGCTTGGGGACCAGGTGCCGTTAGTTTATCTTTTAGACTTCTCTTTATAGCTACAGACATAACTGGAAAGGCTTGGATCACATGGTCAGGGGTTCATAGAGACCACATTGTGTGTCTTTTCCTGATCACCGATTACAGGAGAGAGGGAGAGCTCACACCCAAGTGTGTCATCCCCACATCTTTCTTCCAACTAGAAACATGCAAAAACCAACAAAAAAAAATTTCCCTTAACTATACAGGAAAGATACCTGGAACATGAATTAAAAGGAAATTTTCAGAAGATTTAGGGGGAAAGAGAAAGATATGATTTTTATGGCCGGAAGTTCTCAAAGGAAATATATATGACTCAAAAGACTCAGGAAGCTTCTAAGACTAAGAATCAGACATCACAACCACCATGCCAGATACTTTTGGTCTCAAAGTAATAGTACATAAAGGCACAGCATTAGTCTGCAAGGGCTGCTGTAACAAAATGTCACAGGCTGGATAGTTTGAACACTGCACAAGGTTCTCCTTACCCTCACCCCGGCCACACAGCTCTAGAGACTGAAAGTCCCAGACCCAGTTCTGGTCAGTTGCTTTTGACCAGAGCTTTCTTCCTGGCACATAGACAGCATTTGACCCTGTGTCCTCATATGGTCTCTTCTTTGATGTTGATGTTTAAAATAAGCTGAGCTGGGCGTGGTGGTGTACACCTTTGCTCCCAGCACTTGGGAGGCAGAGGCAGGCAGATCTCTGTGAGTTCAAGGCCAGCCTGGTCTCCATAGTGAATCCAGGCCAGTTGTGACTACAGGGAGACCTGTCTTAGTGACAAAAAAAAGATAAGCGTTGGTGTCTTTTCACTTAAGGACTGTAATCCCACCAGACCAGGATTCCACTCCGTGACCACTTCTACCGCAAAGCCCCATCTCCAAGTTCTGTCACAATGAAGGTTAAGACTTCAATGTGTGAAACTTAGGAAGGGACACAGCATTCAGTCCCTGATAGTCATACCAATGAATATGAACCCATGAGAGTATCGGAAAGCAAACTGTGGTCCTGAATACATTTAGATCTGCAAAATTACAAAGGAAAATGGAGAGCTGCTTCAGTCACATTCCATACAAGAAAGAAAAAAACCAGATCAGATAAAAGACCTTGAAGCTTTGGAGACCTCTAGGAACCTGACAACTTAGACTGAAAACCCAGATGTCACTCCTTCAAGATAACATCACCTTTTCATCATGGGATTCCAGACTTCAGAGACGGGGGCCAGGCTCTCTGCTTTAGAATTAGTTGCTATGTAAAGGATGTGCACAACATCGGATCCTAATAAGCAATAAAGCAGCATGCTTATTCTCAAAGCCTTGTCCCGGAAGCCCTGGTCTTGGCTCACTGTTCAGCAAAGTATCCACCAGGTTTCTCATGCCAAAAACTCAGGTCTCATGCTTGACCTTGCTGTCCCTTTTCCCTGAATGGAATTCATCTTGAAAATGTCTTTGGATTCCCTTTTTCCTCCATCTCCAACTATCAAGATGTCTCCTGAGCCCTGATGATGCCACTTCTATAACTTGAATTGCTATTTTCAAGTCTTGGTGAAAGAAAACAGAATTAAAATTTTTAGTTATCTCCAGGCGTGGTGGTGCACACCTTTAATCCCAGCACTTGGGAGGCAGAGGCAGGCAGATCTTCGTGAGTTCGAGGCCAGTCTGGTCTACATAGTTCCAGTACAGTTATCTTTTATTTTTAAATTTTTATCATGTATTTATTGTATATGGTGCCATGTTACATAAAGATATTTTCATGTAAGTATATATTGTACACTGAGCATAGTTCCCTGACTTTCAAAATTTAGCCTTAATGTCTGCAGTGCTTCCTGATGATGCTTTTTAATAAAGTCTCTCATTTGAGGTTATTACCAATACCTGTTCTGTAAATCTGTTTTTCTCTCATCCATGATTAACTTCTGCAGATCCAAATCTTCATTTGAATATTGAGGAATTGAACAAGGAGTTCATGGCCAAAAGTGAAGAAGTGTACAACTCCCTCATGAATTGTCACTGGCAGCCTCTGGATACCATTCTCTCTCACATCCCAGATGAGACCCCCAAAGTGAAGCAAAGTGTTCACTAAGCCTCCCAGCTGATCAATTGTACTTTGTTTTGATTTGCGAGAAAAAATTTTCCATGGATGTATTGGATTGTCTATATTTTTATTTTTGGTGGTTCTGGGGATTGAGCCCATGGTCATGCACATTCTGTATAAGCATTCCCACCACTGAGCTCCCTCTCCTCTCCAGCCCTTGGATTCTCTACAGAAATGCAAACTTCTAGAACATCAGTGTGATTGGCATGCTGGAATATGACGTAAATAAACTACACCAGCACAGCCATTCCAAAAGGTGTGTTATCTTTTTTATTTAAAAATATTAGCACTGATTTCTTTTAGAAGTAACATGATTACATTGAAAGACTTTGTATAGGTTGGAGAATTTGGAAAGGGAGTGGCAAAATTGCAGTATAGGAACACTGACAAATTTCACATTGTTGAAGCTTAGTATAGTTTTATCAGTAAACAATATTCAAAAATTATAGTAGACAGAATTTAGAATTTATAGTCTAAGATATAATTAAATATTTTTAGTTTGAGGATTATATCAGTTTATTATAGTGCTTTCTATTTTAACTTCCAAGATTATTTTTATCTCTAGAAGTTCAGTTAGGGCCCAGGTGAAGGCTGCAGGGGCTGCAGAAGAGTAATAGAAAAACAGTAGAAAACCTTTTGGGCCTGGTAATGGGAGATCCAACATCAAGGCCTGGGTATCCAGGACCACGTGTGGAGTGATGACTCCAACTGGGCTTCAGAGGAGGCGATGGGAGGTCCTGTTCCAGAGAATCAGTCCTCCCAAGACCAGAATCTGCAAATAGCAGAGCCCCTGGCCCCGGCCCCCAGCATAAGAGGCAAAGTCTCTGCCATATACAACCTGGGACCTCGAGAGAGGCAGCTATGGGGAATGTCACTCAGAGAAGACAAACTGTTGCCCAACATCAGGAAGCCTTCCATGCTCTGCTCTGCTCTGCTCAACCATCAGCCCCTATCAGAGGAATATGGAACTATGGCTCACAATAAGGGTCCAAATTCTCAGGCCCTTGTAAAGGGACCACAACTCTGGCTCATGGTGGGAGGGGGCACAACTCCAGCTCACAAGAAGGGACTACTGCTCCAGCTCCCAGAGTGGGACAAGAGCTCCTGCTCACCAGTAAGAGAGGTTAGGGGAAGGAACATCACAGCTCCAGACTTACAGGACGGTTTCCACAGGTCTAGTTCACAGGACAGGTGTGGTGTGTTAAGTCAGTGCAGAAGAACTCACATGACTGTGAAGGTAGAATATCACTAGATGACATTGGAAAGTAGGTTTAACAGGAGATGAGTTTGCACTCAGGGGCTGTGGCATTAGCTACTGTGCTGACTTCCTGTAACATTAAACTCTTATGGAGAGAAATGAGATACAGGATGCAGAGTTTCTCACTGGCATCTTGTCCTGAAAATGACAATTAGAACTAGATACTCAGTCTCCACTGACCCTTGGGCTCTGTGGAAAGATGCTGGCGTGGCAGTGGAAGACAGCAAAGACTCAATTAAATCAAAGATGCCCAAGGGTGAGCAAAGTTTGCCTTATCCAAACAGCTGGATAGTTCTGTGAGAGAGGACTTTGGAGTTTACATAAGCCAGTCCTGAAGTGCAGTGCGCATCTTCACTGTGCTTATAAGGTGGTGGTTACTGTGCCCTGGTTTATTTGTCTCAAATGGGTACTTAAGGGAGACCCTGAGGCTGATGTGTGATGGACTTGAAGGCCTAAAGCTTATGTTTAGACAGAGAGTTGATCAGAGTGGGGACAAAGGGATCAGACATCACCTGCTTTCCAAAGGTGCTTGGCATATACTGAACCTTGTACTGCCAAAGCCTTAGGAAGAGCCAAGAAAATCCTGGTGGCTGCAGCTGTTGCTGAAGAGCTTCCTGCAAGGCCTGGGTCAGGGCTTCCCAGCTTCCCCCATCAGCCGCCACTCATTTGAGCTCAACACTCCTTCCCTGTGGGGACTGTCTCTGCACTTTTCTGACCTCTGCCATAGATGCCCATTGCAGTTATGTACCTCAGTGTGACAACCAAAATGTCTCCAGATGTTGGCAAATGTCCCCCAGGGGATGGGGTGAATGTGCCCTGACTTAGTATCACTAGACAATGACGATGATTTTCAGACCCTTGAGTGCACTGTGTCTCCTGGAAAGCTTGTTTAGACAGTAATACAGAAAACTTAATGCTATTTGTTAGTGAAATGAAAAGGATACAAAAGCAAATCAGCACAGCCAAGATTTGAATTTAGTGAAGCAATTCTTTGTTAGAGAAATGATCACAAATCCATATGACTTATATATTTGTTTTAAAGAAACAGCCAAGTTAACATCACATCACTCTTGTATATAAATAAAAAGATGGGCTGGAGGTGGAGCTTGGTTGGTAAATAAAGCACTTGCCTAATATGTATGAAGACCTGGGTTCAATCCCTAGCACCCTGTAAACTGGTCATGGTGGTGTACCTGTAATCCCAGCACTTAGAAGGTAGGGGGAAAAAAATTAAAGAGTCATCTATGCCTCTGTTATAATGATAAAACAAGCAACAGCTGTCCAGAGTCGAAGCTGGCACATAATTCATTATTCCCTTTATTAGAATGAAAGGGCCTCAAGGCTATGATTGGGGCCCACCATGGGAGGGAGAACATTAGAAACAACTGAGGGTGATCTAAACATAATGGGACCTTAAAGAGAAGGAGGGGCTTCTCTTTAAAGCCTGGAGCTGAGCTTTGTTAAGGAGAACTTTGCCAAGGATGGTGGTGCATGCCTTTAATCCCAGCACTTGGGAGGCAAAGGCAGGTCAATCTCTCTGATTTTGAGGCCAGCCTGGTCTACACAGTGAGTTCCAGGTCAACCAGGGATACATAGTGAGACCCTGTCTCAAAAACCAGAAAGAATGAGACCATCCCAATGACCAGATATGCCTCTGTCATCTGCTGAGGACCTACCATGAGTAGCTTTGTGTAGCAGAGACCACCAATGCTTGCCTTGAGCCAGCCAGCCAGATGGTGAAATGTGACCCTCGCCACAGTAAATACTTACTGCCTGATGTGCTGTGATGATGTGGTTCCTAAAGGTGCCATTGCTGCCATTGCCACCATCAAGACAAAGTGCAGCATCTAGTTTGTGGACTGGTGCCCATTGGCTTCAAGACTGGCATTAATTACCAGCCTCCCACTACAGTACCTGGTGGAGACCTGAGCAATTAACACAGCCTCTGCTCAGGCCTGGTCCTGTGTAGACCACAGGTTTGACCTGATGTGTGCCAAGCCTGTCTCTGTGCATGGGTATGTGGGTGAGGGCATGGAGGAAGAGTTCTCTGAAGCCCATGAGGATATGGATGCCCTACAGAAGGATTTTGAGGAGGCTGGTGTGGATTCTGAAGGAGAGGAACACTAATCCATTCCTTTCAGCCCTGTAGCATGTCCAACTCTGAGAACGTCAGCTTCAACATTAGCTGACAGGCATCAGTGTTTTCCTATTAGATTATCTCTGGTTCTGTCAACTAACACTGTGGCGTGTTATCACATCTGCCTTTTCCATGTGGACATGTAAAGTTTTCCTTAATGTCTCAAAGTAAAATCTTTAAGAAGAAAATGTGAATGAGAAAAATAGATAGCTAACATAAGAGGGACAGGAGAGGGGCCAGAGGAGATTCTTCAGAGGGTAGCCATGAGAGCGGTCTCCCCAGCACCCCCACCCCAAGAGTCTCAGACCAATGCCCAAACAAACAAAAGATCTCACTTTTCATAACCTTTTAGGAATGTTGCAAAGTCTCATATCACATGATTTGATTCAACATACCATATACGACAGAGAACATGGAGAAGCCAGGTACAGGTTAGGACCATAAATCGGGGGTTGCTGTTAGGTCAAAGCATACACAGCTTCTTAACGCTCTGTCCCAGAAAGAGCTGTAGAGGGGTATAGCCAGATTCCATCAGGGATCTGGCCTAAAGGTGCAGACTGGTGTTCTAACAGGATCCTATTTGTTTGTTTTTGAGACAGGGTCTCACTATACAGCCCAGGCTGGGTTCAATCTCATGGTTGTTAGCCTCAGCTTTCAAAGTGCTGGGGAAATAGGCCTTTTTAAAATGTGGCTAAGTGAAACTAGAACAGGAGATTGTTTTCCATCTGGGTTTTTTTTTTTTTTTTTTAAAGTCTCTCATTGTAGCCCAAGCTAGCCTGGAACTCACTGTGTAGCTCAGGCTGGTCTGGAACTGGACTCTATTCTCTTCCCTTAGCTTCAGCTTCCTGGGTACTGAGATTACAGGCATGAGGCCCCATATCTGGCTTCAGATAAATATTGTTTATTCTGTAAACCATCATGTCTTTCTACCTGGCATTCAGCTTTGCCATTACAGAGCAGGTGATTACAGCCATTATCAAGAGGAAAATAGGGAAAATGGGAGATGCTTTAACAGGGGAGCAGGAAGGAAGGTTTATACAGAGGTAGAGTGAGGAAGGAGAGATAAATAATACTTAAGTGGTCTGAAAAACTATAAAAAATATTTCATAAGCCTACTTAAAAATACACATATAATATGTACGTCAGTACATGTGTATAGCTGAAGACTATTTAACAAAAATCACAGTGCCGGGCAAGGGAACCCTCCTTTTGAGTTGTTGGTCAGAGTAGTATAAGAGACTCCAAAATAAAATAAGCTATTGTCATAGCCTTTGGTTGCCTCCCAGAACCTGAAGATAGGACCCCATTTTTTTTATTTTTTATTTTGGTCTTTTTGAGACAGGGTCTCCCTGTAGCCCCAGCTAGCCTGGAACTTACTATGTAGACCAGGCTGACCTTGAACCACAGATCTGCCTGTCTCTGCCTCCCAAGTGCTGGGACTAAAGTCGTGCGCCACCACGCCCAGCTCAAAACTCTATTTTTAAAGACAGAATAATTTGGAGCAATTGAGCAGGAACTGACCTGGAAGCCACCTCCTTGAAGACTAGCTCTTACAGCATCAGTAAGTACTATGCAAGCAGCCAAGGGAGAAAAACAATCTATGGTCCTACCCAGCTGTAAAGCCCATGAAC